ACATTCCGGAGACACTTTGGGAATACCCTCCCCCTGCCTCTTCTCCCATAAAAACGTACTAGTAGTTTAATTAGCATACAATACCCCTCAATAGTCTACTCCACTATTGCTGAATGGAGCAAACTATTCGCACTGATTCAGTCTAAACCAACAAAAACGTTCAAGTCCCTGATCCACAGAAGACGAGATGTCTAAATTCCAGGTCCCAGACTTGGAATCTGAAACTGCCATTCATTATCACACATCTTTGCACACACTCAAGTAGGATTCAGAAGTTCCTTAGGTGCTGAAACCTAGCTTCTGAGAATAAATGCCAGAGGACTCTCATTTCTTCCAAAGATGTTTGTTAGCGGTATCCTCTCCGTAGACTGCCTGAATAGACAGTTTATGTACCCTACTCCACAGCTTTCGACTGAGAATACTTTCCATAGCTCCTTCTGAAGGAACTGCACTTTGCACAGAATAACAATTGGGGCAAAGAGGAGGAGCAAGACTACATTGGCAGTCAGGGAACTAGCACAGCATAGGCCACAGTCACTGCTCCAAAGATTAATCAATCCTGGGGCAAGAAAAAGTGGGTGAAGTGAAAAGGTAAGAAAGTTTCTCCCAGTCAGGTAAAACTTGTCATCCACAGCTGTCTAGAGTGCAGCACTGAACTGAGAAAAGCTGCACAGCATTATTCCTTCCTTTCTTAAACCTTTGTGATTCTTTTGTGGTCTGCCTCACACCATGCCTGTCAGTGATGGTGCCGGAGCAGACGAGGGCTGCTGTGTCAGTGTGGCAGCTGCCTGTGGGATTTACCTGCACCAACTGCTGAAAGACCCAGTACTTACCTACCTCAGTAACATCACTGTACTATTGCTTAATACGAGAGAGAAAGAACGTCATCAACTAAAGGAGCAAAGCTTAATGGAGGTAGCGGGGGGATGGGCAGCACTGGACAGAATTAATGGTTTCAGAGAGGTGAGCACGTATTCTGAGGAGACTGAGATGGGGAGAGCAGAGAGGGACTCTTGCTGACTGTGTGGCCATTTGGCTCATCCGTTAGGGCTAGATACAATCTGCTGCTACCAAACGAAGAGTCTTATCTAATGGGAATCTTCCAGAAAACAATACATTTTACCTGATGAGACTAGGCAAAAAGAGCACAAAGATGCTATCTAGAGGAAAAATTATTTGCCTTAGTGATTCTTCTAGACTTACCCCCGAAGACTGTTGATTCTGTGACAGCGCCAAACGAGCATGGCCTCTTCGAATTCTGCGTTCTACTTCAGCAAGTAAGCTTTGTAAATAGCGTAAGAAGTCTCTTTCATAGCCCACTTTCATAAAGCGAGAGCTCTTCTCATACCTGGCAAAACAATTTTTGAAGCGAAAGCTCAAGCGACTACATAATATACAAAAATAACGTGAAAATTGCAGTGTTTTAAATTACTGCTTAAAGTAACGAAGGTTAGAAGTTAAATAAACTTTTATGTAAATCAATAAAGCAATTAAGTGCTAATGGCTTCCACGGTTTTTGTGGCTTTTAGGAAACGTCAAGCACACTAAAAACGTTATTTGCGTTAACATAACAACCAAAATACTTACTGTTTACGTAGATTTTCGTCATGAATTTTTTCACAAGGACCTAAAAAGACCACACAAGAAGTTTAAGTTTGCATTTTGAATGCCATATTCATGTGCCATCAGCATTTGTTTGTGCATCATGACTGAGCAGAGTTTTAAACATTTCCCAGAGAATAACTCAAGAGTGAAGCTAACGCGCATTAAGTCTGGCCTTCTGCGCCTGCATTTCTGCTTGCTTTGCTTGGAGTTTGAAAAATACATGGAAGAAAGAACGTCAACATGGAGAGATTTCTGAAGGACACGTGAACTTGTCGTATAAAACAAAAGTTTCGGGAGAGGGAGAGAAGGTAGTTTCAACGAGCGCTTTGTAAGCTCCAGACACGACTCTTTTCAATTGGCTAATTAAAATGTTTATCTTAAAAGTACAATCAGGAAGTAAGTGGTCTGTGTTCATGAAGGGCAGTCACGTTAAAATTCCCCCACCTTTGCTAATCTGTAAAACTCTTTTCTGGACTAGGGACGCAACACAAACAATAAGCCTGTTTTTCCTCGTTGCCTTTTCAAAACTACTTAAGTTGCCCACATACCAAAGCTTGAAAACTACTATGAATTTAGGAAAGGCCTTAAGTAATAACAATTACAGTAAAAGAGTGCCTCAATTCATTAATTTATTTTAGTATGAGCATACCTTTTTGCACTTAAAACCCAGTCAGGTAGCATAAAATAAACCAGAAGACAACACTTTTGGAGGAAGAAACCACCCATGCCCAGTAATTTAGCTTACTCTAAGAAAAAAATACACATATATTTTTCACATAGAGGAAGCAGGGTTTAGAATAAATACTGCTCATATTAAATTTACTTAATCACTGGCAATCCTAAGGAAAGTCTATTTCTGAAGTGTTATGAAAGAGCATAAAACATTAAGAACGCAGTTTACAAAGTAAAAGTTCAGCTGCGATCACATATAAGTGAATAAAAACTGCAAAACGTACATACTTACCTAAATCAGAACGGGTATTTGTAAATAACTCAGCTGGGCAAAATCCACAAAGGTAGTATTTACAAACCTGACAGAGGTGGAAAAAAAAAAAAGAAAAAGAAAAGAAAGAAAAGAAAAGAAAAAAAACAGGCATCATTTTTCTCCTCATGAATTGGCATTTTAGGTAATCACTTCTAGCTTCTGAAATACAGCATAAACACCACATTCTGCAATTTTTCTAGGAATTTTATGCACATACACCCCTAGCTGTGCTTAACACAGTGGTAGCAAATGCTCTAAGGCACACCCTAATAACAAAACACCAAAAAAAAATAAAATCTTACTTTCCATCGTAATACACGGTATTTGTTTTTCTGCTAAATATTTAAGATTACAGTAACGTATCCTCTGTTTATAACTGCAATATACTATTTGATATTTCCCAAAGGAACATAATCTGATTGGACCATTTAAGAACATTTTCACAGTTTAAGAATTTCTCAGTAAACCTACAAGGGGTGAGAATCTCTGCTACAGAACAATGAAAACAAGTTCTTCTTAACTTGTCTATAATGATTTTGTGTTCTGCTTCCACTCCTTCAGTGCTACGGTTTGGAGAACAGGAGACATGAGGATTCACACCTAAGGTACCGCCTCAAGGAGGGCAGATTCTGATGTCAATTAAAAATCTTCAGAATACACAGCAGACTATCCAAAAGCTTTTCCATATCTCATATAACACTTGCAAAATTCCTACTTTAAGAATTATGAGCAAAAAGAGGTTGTTTACCTCTTAAGACAGAAAAGGTTCATTTTATCCTGATTTCTTGCCAAGTGGGAAGGGTTTGTTTCGTTTCTACGTAGCCTATTTTAACAGTAGCAATTCAGATTTAACAATAGGAAAATAACACCAGGATACTGGGGGGGAGGGACACGACATAAAAACCACAGTCATCTAGCCAAGAGCTAGTTAATATATGGGATAAAGATAGCTTTTATTAACAAGGTTATTCACCCTCACCCATGAATACTGCTTTAGCTGATCAAGTTGGTCTGTTCTTGAAGTTCATAAACACAGAAATATCTCCAGTCTCTTTATCCATCAGAACAACCAAAAAGATAAAAATCGGAAATATTTCCTCCCCTAATGTCACAAGCAACCTTAAACAATTATTCACTAGACCCTTCCCCTGAAGCTGATTGCCATTACCTTAAAATAGCTTAAGTGTTAATCGAAGACGAGCCTGCACATTCTTCTGATATGTTTTGTTACACAGATTTTTTTTAACCTATTTGACAAATCAGTCACAATAATTGCTACTGTATGCTACAACGTAGCCCCTACAATTATTCTAATACAAGCAAACAATTACTGGAAAGAACTATCAAATTCTCCCTGCGCTACTCTAAGAGGGAACATGTCCACAATCCTTATAATTCTAACACTCACAGGTATACTGTGGACAAAGATTTGCCACATATTATTTCCTAAAATACACTTCAAAAGTATTTTAACAAATGAGGACGGGGACAGACACCCAAAACTCACCCCACGTGAACCACCTCACTAAAACGCCAGTGACACCCGTTGTTTAAATTAGCTCAGTCCAATTTATTTTTTTCCATTCCAACTGCCAGACTGCAAATCAGACTATGGAAGTTAAAATTGGACTGACTACTTTACAGATTACACAGAAACACAGTTAAGGTTTACACGACTAAACAAGTGATTAACCCACGGACACACACACAAAAATGTGTCTGATTTATTATATATATGAACAATGGTCCTGTGATCCAAGTTAGGACGTTGCGGCACTAAAATAAACAGACAGTAAAAATAACTTGTCATGTGAAGTACCATTTTTATAAGCATGACCCTACTCAGAAAGTGAATGTTAAGAAGTATTTATTATTCTTTGAAAAAAAAAGCTACGATATTGTTCAAACACAAAAATATAAGACAATTCACCAACAGTAAACTGTCTCAGGTCTAATTGGTAAAGAGCCTTCTTATGCGATTAAGCACAGGACTTTATCTCAAAACACTATAGTTAGGTCTTGCAGTTAACACGCACTTCTTTCTTCCCAAGTTTGCAAAGCCTGAGAATCAGTGGAGAACTGCAGCAAGATGGGCCAGGGAGGGACTACCTCTCTCTTTAGCGTAGAAGGAAGAAGTGTAGTGTAAGTATATTAAGCTTCCCTCCACTTCTGAAACCCTGACAGCGCTGATACTGAAGCGATGTCTTCAATGAAGAGTTGGTTCAAATTACTTGCACTCCAGCTAAGTCCTCTACAGCTAGTCAAGTTTGAGTGATGGCAGCTACACTGAAGAACGAAACCCCTGACCAGTGCAATCAGATTAGCTAAGTGATTCTATTACTACCACATTACTAGCTTGAGCGTCAGAAGCAGTCAATGTTCAACTCGTACCCTTTGAGAGGCAGCCATTTTAAAATGAGATTAAACTGGGATTCAGCACCACTTTGCTCTAGAGAGATTTTCATGAATGAAAAGAATCTCCGGAAAGGAACAACACCAAGGCTATACGTGGAAGTAGCAATGCAGAGAAAAGAAGCTTTAAGCATATATCTTATTGAACACAATTGCTGTCTCAAGAGTGGAATGATTTGGTTACTTCCTCAAGTCCCTCAGCTTTTCCACGGTAAAAGAGCGAGCACTTTTTGTCTGGGGTGAGGCCAGTTTTCCACGTTTGCTGCCTTTATTTTCTAGTAACTTTTGCCCCTTTTCCACTGTAACGAGGAAAGATAAAGATGGATTCAGCACACACGATCGATGCCCACCTATCTCAGTCTGCAACTGTTTTTTCCTGAAACAACTCCAATTTCGTCTCAAGTTTCTCAAAATAACATGAAATGAATATGTAATAAAGGCAAGCCTCTCTCCAAGAAGTTTGAGTTTCAAAATTATGCATACATTTCCTTTCAAAATGACCTTAAAAAAAATTCCTCCTCCTTTCTTTCCTTACTTCTCCCTCTTACATCTGCCTAGTTTTATCCGGAAATCTCACTGGAGAACCAAAAAGGGCAAACATAATAAAAGACTGAAACATAAGCTACACATTTTTGAGAAAAGAGCTGTTTAAAAGAAATTAGTTTGGACTTGTTTTTAAGTCAGTTAAATTACAACCCTGACAAACATTTAATATAAAACGTAGTGTGATCATATTGTCACCACTCACTTCGAAAACAAGGAGGGAAAAATAAAAAAAGCTATAGTTTAGGTGTTGTCACTGTAACATTTTTACAAAACAACGCCATAGCAAAAGGGCGAGAAACCTAGAACTAAGGTTTTGTATATGTTAGCAACCAATAATTAAAATCTTAAGCTTCTTTGTATCATACAAAAGCTATATAGGGCATAAACAATAATACTTATCAAACAAGAGGAAAAGGTATTTATCTGAAAAATATGAACCTACATTTGGAAAATTTGTAGTACAAATAAAAATGATGGACTGTAGAATTAAAAAGGCAGATACATTCCGAAGACAACCTTGCAGCTGCCTGACTCCTTTTCATCTGCTTCAAGTTCTGCCTGTGGAAAACAATGAAATCCTGGAGAGAACCAAAAAAACTCAAATGATTGTACATACTTACTCAAATAGGTTACAGTGACAATGGATGCTACATTAGATTGAATGATCCTGAACAAGAAGCATCTTGAGAAGTTACCCAAGCAAAGCTGACTGGGTCTGCCTACAATTCGGCATCACTGCAAACGTAACGGTACAACATCTAACCATGCAGGTTTCACCTGCGATGAGAAAATTAAGCTCTACAGTGTCAAGACCAAATCTCAAGTGACAGAGCTCTCCAGAACAAATGACAAAAATTCAGCACCTCGTAACGGGTTAGACCTCTCAGTAAAGTTGTGCAAGGACAGACTTTCCTACCCTTCTTTACAGGCATTCAGAATTATCTGCAAGGTGTTTGGCAGCAGGCCTTAAGAACATCTAAGCTCACTCTCCTAAGCGATTTATCAAGAATAGTTACAAACCAAGACAATCAAAGTAAGCACGGATCTGAAAGCAGCTCAATAAGCCAAGATAGGTGTAGACAGAGCAAGATGAAAAATGACTTAGGGAAAACTTTGCTTCAAGCAAGTAGTTCATAACAAACAATAGTATCTTGACTGTACGTGTTTGAAGCTGACAAGTTTCAGAAGCTTCAGCTATTTACTAATAGGGTCTTCAACTCCTCGGAAAGTCAGTCTTTAATTCACCTATATTCAACAAAATGCCTTTCTGATTATGATGCTATCATACATTCAGGAGTTTTACCAAAAAAAAAAAAAAAAAAAAAAAGGAATTCGTTTCCTTAACTCCTCTCATTTGAGAGAGCAAGACAACCTTTCACTTTTAAGACGCTTCAAGTTAGGAGTTGCTTGCTCTGAAAAGCCTTGTCTCAATTCTAGCACTGTACTTGAGACAGTCACACTTTCGCAAAACACGGGCAAGAGAGGAAAAGAGGGAAAAAAACCTACCTTCCTTTAATACCTAAATATTTCATAATCAAAGATTCTCCAGCAGGTTAAGAAGTGTTACCTGCCTAAATGAAGAAATCTAGCAGCACTTTAATTCAAAAATGGCTGGTTTAATCATATAGCTTCTTAATAAAAATTTTTTTTTACATATAGAAACTCACCTACTCTCCCCCACACCTAACTGCTGCTCTTTTTGTGAATTAATGTATCAGACGCAAAGCCTTGTCCTTCTTTATCAGAGTCAAGAGAAATGAGGAATATGTACATTTTCAGTGAAACTAAAAAGAAATTTTTTTTTCAAAAAGCAGTCAGTCATTAATAGGAGTCCTGAAGTAGTCAACTATTTGGGGAGGAAGGGTATTAGTGGCTTGGCTAAACTTATCAGTTACCTTGAAGCAGCAATAGTTGATTATACACGTTTGTGAACAGCAAAATCAGAGAATTTTTTCTTTTTGGGAAATGAGGAGAAGATGACTGGACAAAGTCCAGTTTCAGATTCCCCTTTCTTCTCAGAAAGCTGCAACATCTCATTTTAACACCAAATTATTTCGAGAGACCAGTTTCTGGGACAAACTCCTGCAC